ATGCCGTCTGGCATCGATTTCCAGCCTCTACACGTCGCCCCCTTTCCAAAAATACCCTACTTTAGGGTGTTTGACAGTTTTTCTTGAACCGATGGCCGCCATCTTTGATTTCAAAATGACGTCTGGCATCGATTTACGTCCTCTACACGTCGTCCCTTTTCCGAAATGCCTATATTGTAGAGTATTTGACAGTTTTTCTTGAACCGATAGTCGCAATCTTGGAGTCCAAAATGGCGCCTGGCATCGATTTACGGCCTCTACACGTCGTCCCCTTTCCGGTAATACACATATTGTGGCGTATGTTAGAGTTTTTCTTGAACTCATTTTCATTTCAGAGTAGTTAGGAAGCAGAAATCGTTCCGATGAAATCAAACTAGAAGATCCCTGTTTTCTTGGAAGCTATCTGAAGATGGAGTGGGCAAGAATCGTGAGACTGACAAATGCAAATTACGAAGAATGGTCCTTCGCGATGCAGGCGCTGCTACATCGAGAACAGTTGTGGAGGTACGTGGATCCCGGAACCCCACCGCTTTCAGTGACGGAAGCTTAACTTGAAGGGGACGACAAACCGCTGGCAACGATTGCCCACTATCCAATTGATAGTAGATGAGAGCCAGTACGGCCTGATTCGAAGGAAGACAACGACGAAGGCTACCTATACGGCTCTGAAGGAGCATCACCAGAAGGCGTCGCTCGGACAGAAAGTGACACTCACTATTGAAGCAGATCACCAATCAAAATTTCGAATTGGGTGATGACATGGAGGCTTATCTGGCTGATATCGAGAAGCAGTATGCTAGACTGGAGAACTCTGGATTCGAAATGAAGAAGTGTCTGAAAGTGGCGTTAACGGAATCGTTTAATCCGTTGGCTACGGCACTGGAGACTCGCAACGAGAAAGAATTGACTCTCGACCTGGTTAAGGTGAAGCTCGTGGATCAAGCAGAGAAGCAGAAGAAGCGAGGTTGCGGAAATTAAGAGCAAGCGTTGCAGACCAAGTGGATTCAGTCAGCAGAAGAGTATCATCTGCTATCGTTGTAGGAAACAAGGACACCGGAAGCGACACTGCAAGGCATTCCTGGTGGAGAGCAGTAGTGATAAGAAAAAGGTTGACGCAAGAACAGTGCGCGAAAACGACAACCAGTCGTTTACGTTTATGGTTCATGATACAATCGATTCCGGCGCTACATTGCATATGGCGAACGATCAAAGTGCTTTCGTGAGACTGGACACTAGTGTATGTCCAGTAGACTGATGCAAAATTTGACTTTTTCGCTCCACAGTGCTTAAATGGTTTCAAATCGGGTCCTGATTAGCCTCCAAAAGTTACAACTCATTTGGTTAGAAACAGACTTCGCACAAACCATTTGAAGTTTACATGTAAATTACGATGGGAAATCTCAACTTTTTGCTCATTGCCTTCTAGTATTTTTCCATATTGAGCTGCGAAACAGTTCGATAGCCATTCTTATAGAAAATTTTCTCAGCTACAACTTTGCTGCAGATCATTTCTATGTAAAACGAGACAGGAAAAAGTTATTAATTATTTAAGAGATTGATAAACTTATGACATGATCAAGCAGCTGCTCTGTAGGCAACACTGTATTTTGCAGTGTGACATAGTAGCCATGATTTTTGTGTCCTATTCAACGCCCCAGAAACACCAATGTTGCCTGCTGATCAGTTGATTAAGCATGATCATAAGACATCAGCGCATTGAACCATTGATAACTTTCGATTCTTGCAAAGTTGTAGCTGGGAAAATTTCCAACAAGTACAGTTGAAAGTTTTTGAAGCAAACCGATATGGTGAATTATTAGATAGACATGAACAAAAATCTTGGTTTTCCCATAGTAATTCCCATACAAACTTCAAATGGTTTGTGCCATCTCAGTTTCTCACCAAATGGGTTCAAATTTTGAGAGGTTAGTCAAGATCAGATTTGGAATCGTTTAAGTATTGTGGAGCGAAAATTTCAAACTTTGCATCACTCTGATGTCCAGTAATATCGACGGCATATGGGAATCGTTGGTGCTCGGAACCGGAAGGTATTACATTGACGGACGGACCGATCTGGAGGAAAATTTGATTCCAGTTGCGAAGCTCACGACTAAAGGTGTAAAGACTCAGTGTGATACACAGCAGTGTCGGCTGATGTACGGCGGTACTGTAATAACGACTGCAGATTGTAGTGGTGGCTTGTACGTCCTAAATCTGACGGGAGAAAAATCGTGTTTAACATAGCATCGAAGATTTGATCTCAGAGACTCAGACGTTCATGGTAGGATCAAATGGGGAAATTTGGCAGCTGGTATGAAGAACAAGCGAAGCGGCATTGTTGGTGTGAACCGGCCGTGGCAAAGAAGACGTCGAAAGCTATTTGGAAGTTCAAAGGAGATGGGTTTGATGACAATAAGTTGAAGCAAGCCGATAATTATGTCGCAACGATTCCTAGAACTGTTCGTCAGTGATGACGATTAGCTGTTTCAAGAGAGGGTAGAGCGTCTGGTAAATTCTATTCCACCGGAAGTACAACTTAGCGTTTTCGGATGGGGATCAGTATCAGGGTCGCGTTAGAATTTTGTTGAACATCCTTGGAGCAGTTACAATGGGTTTAACTGCGGCTGTTACGAGTTTCTTAGGCACTTCCATGAGTGCAACATCAACAGATTTCACAGAAATTTTGGGCATATAAAATAATTTTGACTAGAGTTTATTTTTTTTTTTTTTCATGAATAAAACCATATTTTATCGAGGTTCTTGAAGAAACAAAATATCACAATAATGTTCCACGGCAAAGTTCGAGTAGTAGAAAACGTCATTTTGAACTTGAAGAAACCCAAGGATATTTTAAATGAAATCTGAAACGGGCTCTGAGGGAAGACTTAAAGCTGCAATTTCCAAACTTATCGACTAGACGCTTACGTCAGATGGCGAGTCGCCATTGGCGACTTGAATGTGAATCAATCGGTAGAACTGCTTCCACACATCGGAAGGTACATGAACAAATCGGTAATCATCCCTTTTTCCAGTGGTGGCTTTACCCCTCACCATCCCTCATCAACGGATGAGTTTGGTAAGGGAGATGATCATCCCGATTCGTACCTTCCTCAAAATTGTCATATATACAATTTTCACGCTGCCGTACTCTAACGGAACTACCAACTCTATTCTTTCATCTCCTCATCTATCGTATAAAATGACCACTTCAAATCTAATATTTGACGTTAAGCCTCACCAACTATGTAAATCGTTAACTTAACGCATGAAGTAATACAAACATTTTTAGTTTAAAACTTCGAAGAAGAATATTCTCCACTTATTGTGTACTGCCTTGACTCAATCGTTGTAGATTGATAAATCACTCTAGCATCTAATTTTTTATACTATTCCATCTAGGTTTTGCATCTTTTATCGTTATAAATTCTCAATTTTCAGGAAATCCCGGGAATTTGGCAAAAAAAAACCCGGAATTAGGGATTTGTCTAGCCCCGGGAAATGTCGGGATTTTTGCCTCGAGATTTCTGGTGCCTTCAGACTCGTTTCTGAAATTATTTAGGTTCACATTAAAAGTAGTATAGATCTATTAAAAAAACTGGATTCGCTTTAAAGGCCTCTGAACCTATCTTCTTGAATATTTGTAAAAAGTTCCATACAATATCACTGGGCTTATGCTCAAGTTCTACAAACTTTTTTATATGTTGCCAAAACCGGAAACACTTCCAAAAGCGGAACATGACAAAATTGGAATGTGCCAAAAACGATACACTACTTTAGTACATTTTTGGAACATTTACAGAGTTGATAGATAAATACGTGCATGAAAACGTGTCCTTGACAGATAACCAGAATTGGATTCTTTAATTTTGAAAAAATTATCGGTTATTATACGTAATCTGAAAGAGTTTTGTTTTCTGAGCACAGCGATATTTTGTCCGATCCTATGTCGATTTTTAAATTAATATTTAATGCAACAGATAATAACTTAGATTTTTGACACTAATCTAGCAAATTGACAGCTTGCTCCCGTACAAAGTTACACCAGATGGCGATTTTTGCTAATGTAATCGCACTTACTTAACGATAAGAATTTGATAGTCAGACTCATTTATTCTCAAAGGACTGATAAACCACCAAGTAGTGTACTAAAATTAAATTCGATAAATGAATTAATCCAATCGATCCCAAATTGCACAATTACGAACTAACTCAAGCCGAGACTTACCCAACCGGCAGATCCCCCACCAATCCTACCTTTTTACGACTCGTATGAGAATCCGATCAACGTGACTGAAATTGAATGCACCAATTTGTTTCACGCTTGACTTCCACAAAGTGCTTCTCCGCAGGCGCTGCTAAAAACCGCTGGCGGTTTCGATCCAAAGTGGGTAAAATCAAAAATCAATCAAATTTTCCCCTGGCATTATCCGTCGATGGGTGCACCACGAGTCGGTGCATCGCTGCCGTTACAGAAGATGCATAACAACCGTTTCGATCTTTGCCCTTATTGAGCGCGACCGAACAACGGCAACGGAGAAACGATATTAGCATTCGTACCTGCATAGGTTCGGTTTTCCTCCTGGTACCACGTAACTAGCTAAAGATGGGTACCGTTGAAACCGTAGCATAAACCTTCCACACACCGCCGGTGGGAAACTCGACCAAGCAGGGCAGATTTGGGTTTTGCATTTCCAATTTATTTTAATTATACGGATTCAATGCACCACCACCAGCACCAGTCGGAGCACATCGTTCAAAGTCTTCCTCCTTTGGCATTCACATAAATTTTCCTTACGTCCAATTGAGACATTTTCGCGCCTGGATTTATGCACTCGGTTCAAATTTTTCAATAAGCCCTTTGTAAGTGACTCTACATAAATTATTAACAACCAAGGTTCGTTGCTATAACGACCATTCAAGTCACTTGATGTTCTTCCAATTAGGTTCCTTTCCATCAGGGGGTAAAATATCACTATAACAACTATAATAAAATCACTCACCAACAGCATCACGAGACACTTTTCCCAGCTGGATAATTACACCTCTTCAATTCACGCCGAGCACTTCCAAATTGGTCCACACCGAAGTTCACTTTTGTTTCAATTAGCTTTTTTTTCGTTTTACAACAGATCACGGTCACACTCTTTCACACTGCTACCAATCGAAGATAAATCTTCCGTAATTGGCCAATCCGTAGGGTTTCACACGCACAAAAACACTATTCTACCAACTGTTTCGACTCGATTCGTCGCTAAACTCCCGGAATGTTTGTCGCGTCCACTCGCGTCGGATGTCGTTACCAGACTGATCTCCAGTGGTCCGCCGCCGCGAAGAAGCGCGAGAAAATTTTCGGTGTCTCAATCTTCGACGACGACAACAACAGCAACAGCAACAACAACAGCACGGATCGAGATTACGCTTTTCTGATTTCTTCTTCTTCGTGACCGCGGGAGAGGAAAATACCTTTCGATGTTATCATTTCGGCTGCTGGCTGCTGTCAGAAAAATGCGATGTTTTTTTCGCTCTTTCCTCTCCCGCTCGCAACGCAATCGGAGCCGCGGAGAAAGAATGCGGCCGAAGCTTTTCCTCCTCTTGCATTTTTCGTTGCATCTGGCAGCTCGTCGAGTGGATTGTGTCGTGTGTGGGTGCAGCCAGTCTACTATGGAGTGAAGCAATTTGGGTGACTTTTTGTTTTGTTATTTAGAAGCGGGCAGCAGCTTGAGGAAAACGAAGGAAGAAAAACAAGCCGGCTGCAGTCTCGCGAAGAGTGTGGATGAGCAAAAGTTCAGCGCACTCGATTTTCAATCCTTGTTTGTTGGTGAGGAGCAGGAGGAGGTACTATCGCGAGCAATGATGCGCTTGTTAAAAGGCTAATTGGATGTTATTTTCAGGTAATACATTTTTATGGATTTGTTTTGGGCGAGATGCGATGATCCGCTGGTTACCTTTGATAGTTGCGATATCTGTTAATCAGCTAACAAAATTAGATTCAATGCTAAGCCATTCGACGCAGTGATATTTCATACGGGCTTACGTCGTAAATATACCGTAAATTTTGTAACACAAGTGGTATGAGTTTGTGACCACCACAAGCTCAAGGGCCACTCTCCACAGTGGTGGAGGCTACAGTGAACAAAAGTTTGTGTGATCGCTCCAGAGGCTAATCAACGCCATCGGTGAAGTGCCGGTAAGACTGCGTGCCCGGTTAACCGCAAGAAGAGGCTCCAGAGGCTAGATAGGGCCATCGGTGAAGTGCCGTATTCAGCTAGTGGACCCAGCGGGTCATCTTCAATTGGGGCGCCAAGGAGGACCCCGATGTCTGCCAGCCGTCCGATGCATCGCCAACAATGTGGCACCATAGAGGTAACTCTAAGACCAGAAGGTCCCGAAGAAACGTGTTCAACTATTTGGCTCAGCTCTGGTACTCTCTTCGGTCCAAAGCTAATCGATGCACCCCTCGAAACATAAGAAAACCCACGAATCCCTCATTTTATCTATCAAACTTTCATAGTGAATCAAACCAAACATAGTGTAGTACTAGAATTTCGACTAGAATGGGGTCAACAATCAATACGAAACTATCGATTTTAAATTGGCTCACTACTTGACTAGCCTATTGGTCCCAAGCAAATAGATTACGTACCCCAGTCTAGTCTAGCAAGCAGAGATCCAATAGACGATGCTTGAGACTAGAATTCATCCTCAAAGTATATCCATAGAGGTAACTCTAAGACCAGAAGGTCCCGAAGAAACGAGCTCAACTTTTTGGCTCAGCTCTGGTACTATCTTCGGTCCCAAGCTAATCGATTCACCCCTCGAAACATAGGAAAATCCACTAACCCCTCACTTTATCTGTCAAACTTTCATAGCGAATCAAAACAAACATTTTGTAGTAGTAGAATTTCGACTAGAATGGGATACGTTAATCGTTTGCTTGGGACCAATAGGCTAGTCAAGTAGTGAGCCAATTTGAAATCGTTAGTTTCGTATTGATTGTTGGTATATCTGTGTATGTATATATGTAATTAGATATCAAACTAGGCAATACCAACACTGGCCACGCCCGAATGTCTAGAAAGAAAGGGGTAGGAATGTGTTGACGCTTTGTCCTTCCCCCATAAACGCGAACCATTGACCTTACCTAAAATGGTTAAAAATTGTTTATAATCCCTGCTTAACTTTAACTAAAATGGTTATGGAACTTTACATGAACGTTTAATGATAAAGTTTCAACCTTATGTATTATGGTTTTTTGGAACTGGACCTTACAAATAATGGGTTGTTAAGAACCATTACCGTTCCAAATTCTTGTATTCTCCATACATTTTCGGAAAGAGAACTATATTAGAACCTTTTAACTTATGGTTTGAGAACTTTAATGGTAATGGTTATGGTAGTCAGTAAGGTCCACGAATGATTTTGTAACATCGATCAACTTTATGTGGAATATATCGCGAATTGGTTGCCTGTAATTTACTGATTACCAATGCACGATATATTCCACGTAAAGTTGAGCGATAATACAAAACCATTAATGGACCTTACTGACTACCATAACCATTACCATTAATGTTCTCAAATCATAAGTAAAAACGTTCTTATATAGTTCTCTTTCTGAAAATGTATGGAGAAAACAAGAATTTGGAATGGTAATGGTTCTTAACAACCAAGGTCCAGTTCCAAAAAACCATAATACATAAGGTTGAAACTTTATTATTAAACGTTCATGTAAAGTTCCATAACCATTTCAGTTAAAGTTTAGCAGGGATTATAAATAATTTTTAACCATTTTAGGTAAGGTCAATTTATGGTTCGCGTTTATGCGGGTTTGCACTTCTACGCGGAATCACTGGGATGTAAGGTAAGAGGGTTGGGTTTGCAGCAGGGTTTGTTTTGGTAACGTAAAGGAGCTTGGAATTGCCACTAGGTATACGAGCTCCGAGCTCATCGAGTTGCAGCTTTACCATGTAGTCATATGACCGAGCCCCTCATATCACAGCATACCGTTACTCGGTTTTATTTATTGGCGTTATTGGCCCCAATAATGTAACCTAAACTAAACATGAAAAAGTAATTAAACTAAACATCAATAAGTCGGTACATAGATAGCCAGCTGCCAGAAGAAGATTGCTAATTCGGATTTAATTACCTGCCGTGGCTACTGTGGGAACGTTTTTCACGCGCTTTGCGTGGAAGTGGATTACGAGCTCAAAGACCAACTTGGTTTGCATGATAAGAACGTATTCTGGATGTGTGATGACTGCGCTAACTTATGTGCGAATGGACATTTCCGCAACATTGTCACCCATTATGATGGCAATTATGCGGGAATCACGGATTAGTTGAACGGGATGAAAAAGGATACAGCGTTTTTGAATTCCACGGTCAAGGAATTGTCTACGAAAGTGGACAGCAAGCAACCTGATCCTTTAACTCCTCTTGGACCGAACCGATGGCAAAAGCAACTGAACGGCAATCTTAAACCGGGTTTGGCTAAGCGACGTCGAACGGATGATACTGCCACTGAAAGGCCGAGCACAATTAAAGGAACGAAATCTACTGCCTGTAACTCTGTCAGATACGTGCCTCTCGAGGATGACCTACTGTGGGTGTATTTGTCTGCATTCGCACCTAGCACTACAGAAGATGACATCGCAACACTGGCACGCGAGTGTCTTTCGTTGCGCGAAGATGAAGTACTCAAGGCAGTGAAGTTGGTTCGAAAAAATGCGGATATCTCAAATCTTCGAGTCGTGACATTTAAGATCGGCATTGATAAAATGCATCGGGACTTGGCACTAGCTGCTGACTCTTGGCCTGAAAACGTAAATTTCCGTAAGTTCAGTGACGACCGGACAAAAAACGTTACCAGGATAACCAGAATAAGGAGTCAAGGTTCGGATCAACCCTACGAGCTGAAACCACCGGATGCGAATTAGATACGAATTTGAGGACATCTAAACCAGAACGCACTGCCTGTCGCCCTATGGAAGCCCCTAATCCTCCCGACCTAGTCCTGCTTCCTGTTTCTTGCCATCATTGCCGTTCTGGTCCTGTGGTCGTGGCTGGCAATGGGGGTTTCCAACATCCTTCTGCAGGCAAGTATGCGCCCCTATGTAACACTTCACCGCCTCATAATTCTTCGTGTTCTAGCACTGTATTTTATGCTCCTGACTCCCGTTATGAATGCCAACACCTTCACCAACTGCTATCGTCAGAGGATGGTGCACATCGTTCTCCTGGATCTCCGACGTCGCATATGGGCACCATCGCCAGATTCATCAAACCAGAACGCATTGCCTGTCGTATCATGGGAGCCCTTAAGCCACTCAACACAGTCGCGTTTGCTGATTCCTGCCATCGTAGTCGTTCTGACCCTGTTGTTGAGATCGGTGACGGGGTTTCCCAACCTTCTTGTGCAGGCAAGTATGCACGTGTTCATGAAAATTCCCTTCCTGATCAGTTTCCGTGTTCCAGCGCTTCGATTCATAGCCAAGACCCTTCATGCAGCAATGAAGAAAATGTCTATTCGAGTTCTACGACGATCATTCATCCGGAACGCATGCAACAAGGTATCTTGGGAGCCCTCGTTCCCTCTGACCCAGTCAAGCCAATTGCCGTTTCCTGCCAGTCATCTGTGGTATCCTGCCGTCCAAGTCGTTCCGGCCCTGTGGTCGGAGATAGGGCGAGGGTCTCCCATCCTGGCTTTTCAGGCAAGTATGCGTGCTTTCTCGGTGATTCTCCTCGTGATCAACATTTGGATTTCAGCGCAACACCCACTCAAATTTATTGCATTCTGCCGAGGAACGGACGAGAAATTTGTGAAAATCCTTCCTCAACAACTTCCGAGCTACGCATTTACTATCAGAATGCACGAGGACTTCGGACAAAGCTAGATTCTTTCTTCTTAGCTACAAATGACTCGGAATATGATGTTATCGTGCTAACTGAGACTTGGCTGAACGATTGCATCTTGTCTACTCAATTATTCAACGACTCTTACACTGTGTTCAGGACAGATCGTAGCTCTTTGACAAGTCGAAAAACTCGTGGTGGATGTGTATTGATAGCCGTCTCTTCTAAATTGTGTTGCTGCATTGATCCAGCTCCGATAAGTAATGCTCTCGAGCAGCTTTGGATCAAAATCAAACTACAGAACTATGATGTCAGCATTGGAGTGCTTTATCTATCACCTGATTGCAGAGACGACCTGTCGCTCATACAGCAGCATACTGACTCCATTGATTCAATCCTTTCCGGCTTGAGGCCTCATGACCTTGCTTTCCAGTTTGGAGACTATAATCATCCTGAAATGCACTGG